ATAATTAAAGTATACAAAATAAACGACAGCGAGACAAATTCGATGTAATTGGAGAACATATGGTGTGAAAACTGAGGGATTTGAATACTACCTGCTATGTTCATAAGCTTTCTGCCATGTCCAACTCGTCTTAACACTTCCTCATTTGCGACTTTTGCAGTCCAAGAAATCTTCAAAATACGCCTATATAGCCACATTTTGAATGTCTCCAATTTTTTTATAGATTGGGCTTTCAGAACCCATATAGAAGTTGCGACCAAACATAACATTCGACGAACCTCGATCTGAGGCCATACTCAATTTCTTATTTGTAAACATTGACTTGTATTTTATAAAGCCTTTTCGAGCTATTTCTATTCTGACCTTTATCTCCTGCTCTTGATCTAACTGTGAGTTTATAATTGCTCCAAGGTATTTATATTTGTCGACTCTCTCTAGGGGTTTACCCTCCAATGTCAGATGTATGTTGTCAACAGGGTTTTTTGAGATCACCATTTGGTTTTATTTATATTCATTGTTAGTCCCATCTTTTTGCTTTCTCTGTTAATGATTTCCAGGAGAGTTTGTAAATCGTCTATATTCTCTGCCATGATTGCGGTATCGTCTGCAAATTTTATGTTATTAATGATGCTCCCTCCAATCCTTACACCTTCAGTTCTTTCCCATAGTGCCTCCTGAAATATTAGTTCGGAGTACACATTAAATAATTGTGGCGACAGCACACATCCCTGTCTGACTCCTCTTTGAATTTCCACCTGGTTTGTCTCACTATCTTCCACCCGTACGACCGCTGTTTGATTGTAATACAGATTTTTGATTAAATTAATATCCTTGGGATCTAGGTGTATGTGTTTCAATGCATGTATGAGTTTACCATGTTGTACTCTATCAAAAGCTTTTTGGAAATCTATATAACATATGAATACGTTTTTATTATATTCCCTGCATTTTTGTAATAGTACCGTCATTGCGCACAGTGCCTCTCTTGTTCCCATTCCACATCTAAATCCAAATTGTGTATTGTCTAATTGATCTTCACATTTTTTATATATACGCTGCTGAATAACTTTGAGTAGTATTTTTAAAGTGCGGCTCATAAGGCCAATTAATCGGTACTCATCGCAAGATTTAGGATTATTTTTCTTGGGTAAGGGTAAAAAGATAGATTTTAACCATTCATCCGGGATTTGACCATCGTGGTATATTTTATTAAATAATTTAGTTAGACACTCTATATTTTCATCATTCAGGATTTTTAATATCTCCACAGGAATTTCATCGGGACCTGGCGCTTTACCACTTTTTGAGATTTTAATTGCCTGTTGTTTAACCTCTGATATCAGAATTCTTAGATTTTCATTAGTTCATTAGTTGTACATTAGTTCACTGGTGTTACTTGTAGGTATTTAACTTTCGGAATTATTATAACGGTCGGCAGTGTCGGCACTGTGAGACGGACGCTCAAATAGTTTTATTGTGGCACACTTATTTCGAGCTGCTGTGAATAGAAGAAGATAGGTCAACGTGGTCGCCAACATCTCTAGAAGATAGGCACATTTAGAAGAAGAATTATTATATACATAGATATTCAAATTTATATTCAAGATTGATATTAGAAAAAATTAATATTCAACTTACTTGGTTGCTGCGTTTGACTGCTTGTCTGGTGTCTCCATCAGGACTTCCAGGATCTTGGCCTCTTGAGTCCTCAGATCGCTTCACTACTACACAGTTTACTATTCACTGTATTACTCAATAGCAGTAGCTCAAAACAGTAGAATATTCAATTTTTAATGATTTTTCTCTTTTACATTGATCAATATAATATAGTCCTTCTAGAAAGTATCCAGAATTTTATATTTTTCCTAATATTAATACATTTCCTTTTCGAGGGTTTCGAAAATTAGCGAACAGATTTGGAAATCAACGAAGAATAAAAGTGTGCCCAGAAACTGTCCGCACGTCCCTCAAAAAGCAAGGAATATTAAGGAATCCAAAAAAAATCCCTAGAATGACATCTCTGCAAAGGTAACAAAAAGTACACTTTTGTCAACGTTTTCCCGAAGATAATTTGTATAATGTCTTTATATCTGATGAAAGTTGTTTCCAGATTGGTGCAAATCATCTAAAAGTCCTATCAAAAAAAAATGTTACCGTTCAAATTTCTAAATTTCCCACTAAAATAATGGTTGAGGGGGAACAATATCTAAGCGTGGTGCTACACCTCTCTGTATAGTTAATGGTAGTGTTGATAGTGTGAAATATTGTGACATTCTAAACGGTTTTCTTCTTGAAACGCGTTATGTTTTATATCCAGAGATGTGGCGTTTTCAGCAAGATAATGCAAGATGCCATACTTCTGCTTATACTTAAGCTTGGATGCAAGAACACGAATTGGCAATAATTCCGTGGCCAGCAGAATCTCCAGATCTTAGCACCATTGAAAAAAACATATGGGGACTGGTAAAGATTTAAGTGGAACGAGCAGCGCCACGAGATAAAGAAGGTTTGATTCGGTCAGTTTTACAGACCTGAAATACCATTACCAAAAATTATGCCCTTGACCTAGTTTCGGGTGTACATGGACGTTTAGTTAAGTGTTTAGATTTAAATGGAGGTTGTATAAGTAAATGCGATGAATTATTTGTTGAAATTTTATATTTCAAGTGATAGAAATAAATACCGTAAAATTATAATTCTGCGGATACTTTCTAGACGGAATATAGAAACTGCTGGCTAAAGATTTCAGGCATTTAGAAGAAAAACTTCAAATCTTCAAGGAGTATATTATATTTCCTAATAATTATATTAAGTTAAATTTACCTATTATAAATAATAAACTATCAGTTGTAGATGAGGAACCAAAATATCGTATATGATCTGTATTCTTAGACAAATTTGAATTTATATTTAAATAACAACCCATTATTTATACACTCCTAGTATCGTTTTTAAACGTCCTATCGTAAAAGTCACTGAGTCAATAACTAAATAACACGTTGACGATATCACATTCACCGCATCACCATTGATACCAAAAATGTCAAAAGTAAAGATGATCGAACGATTCTGGAGCAATCTGAAAAAAAAACATAATGTCAATATTACACTTACCCCTCTATAGGTATTAGTGAGCTAATTTAACTAGGTAAATATTTTTAAAAAAATTTCAAATAGCCTTTTTTTTAATGACTTTGGATTTCTTGATCCACTCAACCTCGATCCTCGAGACCTTGTACTGTTGGATACAAGATTAAATATAGAAGTGTTTAAAAAGCACACTCCAGGTCTAAATAATAAATTGAATGTAAGATATACAGTGGTACCTCGAGATATAAGTTTAATTCGTTCCGTAAATTGCTTGTATATCAAATTACTCGTATCTTAAAGCATTTTTCCCCATTGAAATTAATTGAAATGCTATTAATCTGCTTCGACTACCAAAACACCACCTCAGTTGTTTTTGTCAAGTGTGTCTGAATAAGGAAAATGTATTTACAAAGAGAAACATTTATTTTTAAATAACAAATACATATTCTATGAAAAACATAAAAAGTGAAGCGCTTACGGAAGTGCTTAACTTTCGTCACTGGTCTTCGCTTTTTTCGTCACGTTTTGCTCATTTTCATCTGCAGATCGTTTAAAAAACTGTCCAAGGAGGTTTATTTCTTCATCCTTTTGAAGTGAGGAAATGAGTTAGGCAAGTGTCGTTAAACAACTCCGATACACGACCAGTTGCAACTAATTTTTATCCACGAACTCTACAACTTTCTCCCGCCTTTTCCTTCCTATAAAGATCTTTATATCTTTTGTAGAGATAACCTCCTCCATCTCTGCCTTTTCTGAAAACCAATTTTTTTTAAATCACCGTATGCTGCTGCTAATGTAGATCGTATAACTCCTGGGTTGTCAGCCCCTGAGACTGTTTTTCGACAAATTCGTTCACATCTCTCTCATCCATCTCCAGGCTGATGGATTTTTCCAGAGAAACAATCTCATCTACCACTAACACTTAGGGTTCCAATCCTTCGAAGATCCTTTCAGCTACAGCTTCTTCCATGCAGAGATTAAGGTCCTCTCGACGGGTAAAACTCTCGAAGGGTAAGGTTTGTGTTCTACATCAACTCAAATGTGCTTGGTGTACAACTTCTTAAAATTATAAATCACCTGCCGATCCCTGAGGAGCAGGATAGTAGTGGTTTTCTACTATTTCCGTAAATAATCTTCGAGATTTGGTGGGTAAGCGGGGGCATTGTCGAAGACGAGAAGGTCTTATATGAGTAAGTTGTTTTCCTGTGGATATTGTTTAACAGAAGGGCCAAACGCCAGGTATATTTACTCTACAAAGAATTTCCTGGTGACCCACGCTTTTGGATTTGCCTTCTACATAATTTGCAGTTTTTCTTTTAAAATATTATGTGAATTAAATGCTCTGGGATTTTCCAAATGGTATACTAGCTGAGGTTTGATTTTGCAGGCCATTAGCATTTTTTTCTGGGTTAAATAACCACTTACATAAATTTTTCTTTGAATTAGTTGCTCTATATAAATTGCAAAGGCTCTTTCTGTTTTTTTCTAATAATAGATTCCTTGAATAAGATTGGAGCTTAATTTTGTAACAGCCATTATAGCAAATCAGCAAAATTTTAAACGAAACACCGCTAAGAGAAAAATTATTTTAAAACAATAATAAGTTATACCTTTCAATGCGAAACTCGCAATGATGTAATAGGAACATCATGTAACAAGGGAATCCCTGAATCGCAAAGGCTAACTTTACTGGCATCTGGATGTGAATAGTTCAATTATAATAGTTAATAATAGAAATTTTTGGATGAAATACAAATCGCACAACTTGAAAATCGCATAAAAAAATCCGCATAAAAAGAGACCTTATTGTGTATCATTTTGTTCTTACGCCACTACAACTTTGGAGAGAATATTAGGCCTACACAATTTTTAAAAATATTTTAGTAAATCAAAAAAAACTAATAACTTACGTTTAAGACGATCTCCAGTATTTTCGGAAGAATTTTCATGGATATTATCATTAAAGTCTGTTTTGGCACTTGATTTCTGTTGTGATATGTCAATCTCGTTTAAATTAGATTGATATTTAGAACCTGTAAGAAAAAATATAGCTTAGAATACATAAAACACTGATGCGTAAAGGACTGTAGTTTTTTTATGCTATCTATTCCATCAATAGAAACCTTTTTTCAATGGTAACCGGGTAGTTAAGAAGGGTATTAATGAGGGAATTAATTTGGGAAAGTGGGTGGTAACTCTCATGACAAATCTCATCACCCACATTTACAAATTAATTCAGTCATTAATACACTTATCTCCAGATCAATACACCTTTGCGATGATGCAAGTAGATCCACTGATCCACATGAATACTTTTCTTCCTTACATCAAAGGTATCACAGGCAAAATCGACAAAATCCTCAAATAAAGATGAATAAAGGTGAAAATCCTCTTGTCCGATCAATCAAAGACAACATTCCAAATAAACAACACAGAGTTTATAAAATTCCTTGTACAAACTGCCTCGATCTTACATAGGCCAAACCAATCGTTGAATCTAAAATAGGATTTATGAACATTCCATTTCTGTTCGCAATTTCGATTGAATTCGAAATGTCAAAATTAATTTTGAAAATTCCAAAACCATAGCCCTTATCCGTTTCCATAAACACAAGAATTATCCGGGAGCCATAGAGATTAAACAACAATTGTCTCAATAAAAGAGCTTCGACATGGAGACATCGTCTAAAGTAAATCGCAGCAGCATAGTGGAGTGAGCAGTGAACAGTGTAGTGAAGAAATCTGGGGACTAAGGGGATTAGAGACTCCACAGAGCTATTTGGATAGCTGTGTTAAAAAAAATAAAAAAGTGCTCTTAGCTAAACAGAAGAAAAATTGGTTAACAATTGGTTTAACGATAAATGCTAAAATGTTCACTATTGGAGTCATATGGAGTGTGAAAACCACTTATGGAGTAAAATTGTTTGTGTCCTTATCATAGAAAGTAATAAACTCTGTTGACACGTTACCTTTTAAATTTATATGTGCGCCTTTTAATCATAAATTTAAATGTACAGGGTGATCCACGCAAGTCTGGCATAGTCCATAATCCTTATTTTTAATGAAACACCCTGTATTATTTTATGTTTTTAAAAGATTTTTAACAACCTGATTTCAACGAACTATATCATGTACGGTCTATAATAAATAAGGCAAGGTAAAATTTTGAAACTTATTTATCAATTATTTATATTTATAATTATTTATCACGTGTTATGGTATCATTTTAAAATTATCTCTAATCTTCCCTATCAGGAAAAGGTTTATGAGAAATGTCAGCGTCGAACCACCCGAAGTGTTCCCCCTACATCCAGAACGACCTAATGGAATGAACCTGGACTGGAGAACCTGGCGGACACTCAACCGCATGCGCACAGGTGTTGCCCCTGTAAAACAGAACCTCATTAAATGGGGCATCAAAACAGATAGCGAGGCACTCTGTGAATGTGGGGAAATACAGAACGTGGAGCACCTGAGAGTATGCAGACTTTACCCATCACAGTGCACCCTCGATGATTTATGGCTCTCAAATACAAAGGCTGTAGACTTAGCCCGATATTGGGCAGAAAAACTGTAGCCGGATCCAGACTAAAAGAAAGTAAGTTTAAATTATCTAAATACAGACAATACACTTCTACTCTAAGTGTCAGTGTATTGGGGAAAATTTCTGTTTAGTAACTATGTTATGATTTTTTGTTATGAATAGGTAAAAACTGTCTAGATAGTCTGCTAATTAAACTAAATCGGTAAATAATGCAGATTGTTATCAATCAGTTGTTGGTGTGTTGACATTTTACATTCAAATATAAATTCCTAATTAAAAGCTAATTTCCAGTAGAAATAAAAATGAAATATTTAACTGAGACCCATCGAATTGAGATTTTAATGATGATCGGTTACGGGGAGGATTGTAGAAGTCAAGTTGTGGTAGAAAACTTTTTTAATCAGAGGTATATATCCTCAGCTGCCTAATATTTCACAAGGTACTGTGTAAAATTTGCACTTCGCTTAGTAGCCACGTAGGAATTCATTGAAAGGAATGATATTTTGTTAAGTGTCGCAGAGAATCCAACTTCAAGTTCACGTCAAATTGCATGTCAAAATAATGTGAGTCACACAACTGTCCTAAGGTGTCTCCATGAAGAAAAAGTTTATCCATATAAATTGACTTTTTTGGAGGAGCTAACAGAAGACGATCCAGATCGTAGAATGGATTTCTGCGAAAGAATGTTAAATAAAATTAACACAAATGAAATAGGTTTTGGCACAATTCTTTTTTCTGATAAATAAACATTTAGTTTATTCGTCTTCCGGGTTTGGACCGTGTCATTTGTGAGTGACCCAAAAGTGGGTTCATCTCGACGTTTCGCTACAATTGTATGTAGCTTCTTCAGGAGAACAAAGAAAAAGAAAACAAAAGACAGGAAGATGGGTAGTTAGCAACGGTAACTCCGTTACTCAACGTAACCAGAGGCGAATACTAACTACCAAGATGGGCATTTGGTCACAGTAACTCAACTACTCAACGCAGCCAGAGGTGAAAACCAAATGCCAGGACAGGGATTCACGTCCAACAGCTCAGAACACTAACGCGTCGAGAGGCGGGGAGTGAATCCGACGATTACTCCGCTACCGCTCTATTTATAGTCGCGGTGACCTGTCGTGTCGGGACGTATCGGCACAGTCCGTGGCGCGAACGTCAAGAAGCGCGCGCTGGCCAATCATGTGGTTGCATCGTGGTAGTGGGACCGGACGGCGGCTCTAGACTGAGATTCCAGATGGGAGACAAGTAGTATCCTTCCTCTCGATTGATATTATGTGGATTTTTTCGGATCTCTAGAGATTCGCGGATTTTCCTGGAATAAAAGATGGGGCTCTTAGAAATAATATGGGTTTTTTCGAACAATATGGAATGACCGGTTTCTTGGCAGTGTTCTGCAACTGCAGAATGGGAGAAAAGACCTGATCGAATGCATCTTTGATGCTCTTGAATCCGAGTTTTGACGGAACGACCAGTTTCGCCAATATACACATGTCCACATGAACAAGGAATAGAATAGACACCACAGGAAGATAGGGGCGGTAATGGGTCCTTAGGAGAGGGTAGATATTGTGAGATTTTCTTGGGTGGTCGAAAAGTAGTCCTGATACCTTCTTTGCGAAGAATTTTGCCAATCCTATCAGTGACATTTCGAATATACGGAAAAAAAGCCACAGGAGTATTACCCGAAGATTCTGAATTTGTCGTTCTAGGGTGTAAAGGGGGATGTAGATGTCGGTGTGTAATATTTTGAATTGTGGACTTGGAGTAACCGTTGGCGACAAGGGTTTTTTGCAGATGGCCAAGTTCTTCTCTAAGGTTGTCGGGTTCAGAAATCGGAATGGCCCGATGGATGAGAGAGTTGATCACAGAATTCTTTTGGGCAGGATGGTGGTGTGATGAAGCATGTCGGTAACGATTCGTGTGAGTCTTTTTTCTATAAACAGAGTGACCCAATCGGCCATTGGGCTTGGAGGTGACTAACACATCGAGAAAGGGAAGGGACCGATTATTTTCTACTTCCATTGTGAATTTTATACTCGGATGTTGTGAGTTAAGATGATCTAGAAAGAGAGAAAGGGTATGTTGACCATGGGTCCAGATGATAAATGTATCATCAACGTAGCGGAACCAGACTTTTGGTTTTAAGGGGTAAGATTCTAGGGCTAAAGACTCAAAAGCTTCCATGAAAATGTCAGCAATGACAGGGGAAAGGGGAGAACCCATTGGTGTTCCAGATATTTGTTTGTAGAAATTGCCTCTAAAAGAAAAATATGTTGAAAGGAGGCATTTTTCCGCAAGATCTGCCAAAACCAAAGACTTGTTATCATTGGTCAAGTGATCTCGCAGAACAACTAGAGAGTCATGTATGGGGATATTGGTAAATAGGGATGATACATCGAAACTGACGAGAATGTCTTGGGGATCGACCGTGAGGGAGGAGATTAAGGTGATGAAATGTGTGGAATTTCGGACATAAGAAGAGGTACGACCAGTATAGGTCTTAAACTGATTCGACAAGTACTTTGCGAGTTTGTAGGTAGGAGAGTTAATCGTAGTCACAATGGGACGAAGAGGTACGTTGTCTTTATGGATTTTGGGAAGACCGTAAATTCTGGGGCAGATGGAGTTTTTCGGAACTATGGACTTCTTAACATCATCGGAAAGATCGGATTGTTTGATGGCATGGGAAATTTCGCGTTCGACTCTAGGAGTGGGGTCTCGAGAAATTGTATTATAACAGGATGTATCCCTAAGTAAGTCGTTTACTTTCTCTATGTAGGAAGGAGTATCCAGGATGACTGTGGCATTACCTTTGTCTGCAGGAAGGATTATTATCTCAGAAAGAGAACGGAGATTTTTGAGAGCTATGCATTCCTCACGAGATATATTGGAAGTAGGGATTTTGGCTGTATCAAGACATTTAGCGATGTCAAAGCGGATACGGTCGGCTGGAATTTTGGGAATTGTGCGGAGTGCCGCTTCCACATTTGAAACTATTTCTTCGGTAGGAATTCTGGAAGGAGTGATAGCAAAATTAAGACCTTTAGATAGAAGACTGCTTTCTGCACTTGTTAATTGGTGAGAATGTTATGGAATACTATGCGTTTATTTCTTCTCCGGACTAACTCTTTGTTTTGGAATTAAACAGAATATATTGACATGTATAAATTTATTATATTAGAGGATGAAAATTACACTGCCTGTTATTTCTTAAAACTATGAATTTATAAGTTCTGTTATCTACAATTATTTAACGATGTTTCTGGATGGATTTGAGTACAAGAGATTGGACTCAAATATTAATATTAAAATAGCAAATACGGATAGCTTATCGAACAAAGAAATAAGAGAAATAAATTATTATTATTCCATAGATACGAAGTATTAGGCGAATAAACTAGCGAAACTTATTTATTCTAAATAGGAAAATATTTATGAAGAGTATTGATTCTGATTTCTAACAGCAAATAATTATTAGTGATTATACAT